GCAGCAAGCTGGCCGTATCATTGAAAGCTCTGTTACTGTGTTTTTCTTTTAATGTATGAGTTGTTTCTTTTTAAACTTCAGGTTTAATTGTAGTATTAGCACTTTGCAATAAATAAATGGATTTTGGGTTGCAGTGTGGGTGCTTGGATTCTAAAAGGGTCATCATCACTAATCTTTAACATGTCACTTCCTACTGTGTGTTCGGATGCAGCAACTGCAGCAGTACATTAAATTGGTGTGGATGACCTTTTCCACTAGGTCAGCTTAGTTTTCTTTCTTGTGTATAGTTTGGATCTTAAGTGTCCCCTAAAGGCTCCTGTAATAGTGGCTTGACCTTCAGCATGGTGCTGCTAAGAGGTGGTGGAAATGCTGAAAGATGATGCTTAGTGGGTGGATGAGTCCTTGAGGATGTGCCGTTCCAGGGTATTGTGGATATTCTCTCTCCCTGTCTGTCTCTGCATGAAGTGAGCAGTTTTGCTTTGTTATATTTTCCTGCCACGATGTGCTAGCAAAGCAACCAGGCCGACCCATCATGGACTAAAATCTCTCAAGCTGTAAGCTGAAATGAACTCTATCAGTTCTTCATCTCAGGTGTCAGTTCTAGCAATGGAAAGCCTACTGACACTTCCCAGCTGTGCAGTGTGTTCAAGTCCCCGTAGCTGAAGCTGAGTACCTCTTCCCCTGGGGCCGTGACAGTGACTTGGGTGCCAGTATCCATGGAAATATGAAAATTTGAGTCCCCTTTCTCAGGTTCTCCAACACACTTGGATGAGTGCCTGAAAGTTTTAGTCCCTCTAGAGCCAGGGACAGCAGCCCACTCCTAATAATTTTTCTACCAGAGCAAATATAAAGGTAGAGGACAAAAGGAAGGGATCAGGGGATGTGGTGGGAGACTGGCCCTGCTTCAGGGATCAGGGGTGTTTACTTTCAGCCTCAGGTAGTCTGGTACCTATAGGTCAAACTAAGGGACTTTTCATTCACACAAAGTCTTTGTTTCACAGAGACTCCTGTGTTTATCACTACCACCGCACTGCCTTTCATTGGTGGCCTCATTGTTATGGTAACATCCTTTTTTCCTCACACTCAGGGTAGAGGGGACAATTGTCAAAGGCTTACTGGGCAGCCTGTCTCAAACTTACCTTCTGCCATTGTGGGGAACCACTCAAAATGTTTCAAGTTTCAGAGGCGTCTAAGGACACCTGAGGATGTGACCTCATTTATCTAGTGCAGGTGCCCAGTGGGATATAGTCATGTAACTGAATTGGTGTTTTGTCCTGAGCAGCTAGCGAGGTCCTGAGAGGGGCCCATGGGAGATTAAGAAAAGACACGTAATAAAAGGAAAGCTGGGACTGGGTGGACTGTGGCCCTCGGATGGAGAAGCAGCAGCACCACATTGGCCCCAGCATCTTTATTGATATGCAGTAGAAAGGGGAGAAGTGTGCAACAGTCTCTTAAGCACAAGGTCTCAGTATTTTGCTGGGAACACAGAAAGCCACACATTTTCAGAGTTCTCTGGGCTGCAGTTAACACGGAGAAACACCAAAACTGGCCACCTGCTAATACGCACCTGAGCTAGAGTTCGCCTTGTTTACGTGGTCTGAACCTGGCGTTCCATGTTCCTGGAACCGCTTTGCTCTAGTCCCAAGGTATTTGTCAACTTCTGGCTTAGTGGAGACTCAGCTACCGCTCATAACTTAGCACAGGTAAACTAGCAGACACTGGTTGTGGCATTATGTAAGAATGTAAATGAGAGCTGACAGCTTGTACAAGAATTATCCAGTAATGGTCTAGGATGCTCTTGCGCTCTGCTCTCCTCCATGCTGCCTGCTGTTGTTGCTGATGTCTTGCACACATGATTCCTTTAACCTGGGAACCTCACCCATGAAAATCTCCCTCGCCCCCACCCCCCATCCCAAGTGGAGCCACAGCTGCCCATCTGCTAGACATTATTGAATGTTCTCTATACCCACTCTTGGCCAAGAACATTTGCTGCTGGATGTTAGGGGATCTCATGTTTTCTAAGCCCACAGAACCTTTGTCACTTCTATTCCAGAAGATTATGTCTCTGTCACCATCTGTCCTTGTCACAAACTTTCAAGATCTGAAGAATCCGAGATTTTACTCTGCTTGCAAAATGACAAGTCTGCTGGTAGTTCACTAGATGCTTATAGAAAACACACAATGTGGGCTTAAGATAAAGGACTGTATTACTCATGATGTGAATGTAAGCTTGGTAAAAGAAAAACAGGCAAAATTTTACAGAGTTTATTTGAATAAAGAATGATTCATTAATTGGGCAGCAACAGAAAATGATTCAGGGAGCTCCACTTTAGCAGTGTGGGCCGCAAGGTTTTATAGACTAAACATAAGGCTGACCAGATAGCTCAGCAGACTAAAGTGCCTGCTTAGGCAGAGTGCAGTGGCCAGGCTTTGATCCCTAGCATCCCAAGCTGACCCCACCACTGGGACATGCTGAGACTGCGACTAAGACTAGGCGCCTGTAATCCCAGAGCTTAGGAGGCTGAAAACAGGAGAATCACTATGAGTCTGACCTACATAGTGAGACCTTGTAGACCCTGTACTATATACATAAAGAATAAATAAATAAAAATAAGAAAGAACTATGAAAAATATAGATGAAACATAGAAAAACAAAGTGCAGCAATTAACTGCATCAAGACATTTATTTTATTAGGGTACAGTGATGAAGCATTTGCTTTCAGTTGGATGTTTGGGGATGTCCCTGTTTGTACAGCCAGTCAGCTGGTTGGTTGGTTGTGGTGGGCTGAGACTTGTGGCATGCAGTTCTTTTTGTCTGTAAATTAGTTACAAGAAATGTTTCAAGTTAAAGTCCCAGTTGCATACAAAAGAGTTGTGGTTACAGAAACAAGTTTAGACTGATCTCTTCCTTGTTTTAACAAGCTTCATGTATGTGTCAGTTCTTCTCCCTTTATAAATCTTGTAGAGACACTGACTAGTGGCCCAAAAGGATGCTGCACAGGGAGATGCTGCACAGGGAGGGGGTTTGTGTCATACTTATGGCTCTGTATTTGGTAATCCAAATCTTACTGTTAACAGAAACAGCTGGGTCAGAGACAAAGGACTCTGGAGCTGATGGTTCAGCCAACGGCATGAGCTTCTTGTCTAGGCCAGTTCCTCTTGCCCCATAGTTGCACAGAGTCAATGCAGGGTGACAAAGGTGTCATAGCCATAGAACTCCAGGTTTAGACAATCCAGATTTCTCATAGAGGTCTTTAAGAAGCTTTACTTCGGAGGGAGATACTTATATTACTGGAGAGTAAACAGCTTGCCTTCTGTTTTAGTGGCGGGCACGAAATCTGTCTTAGTGGGCTGTTTGCTATGCACATATCCTTGAAAGAGGGTTAAGTTAAAACTCATACCTGCTCACAAGACATGCAGAAAGGCAAGAGACCCATGGAGAAATGTTCTCCAACACACAGCATAAGAATCAGCATTTATGGCGAATAAAAATAATCAGCATTTGTCCTGATTATTATGGACCAAAAAGTAGAATTTATATTTAGTATGTTTGCTTAAGAAAGGAAAGAATATGAGAAGTAAAGTATCCAGTACTTTGGCAAACTCAGCCAGCCAGAATCATTTTGTGAGAGTCTTTCATACCTTGAGCAGAAACAACAAGTGATGGTTTTGTGTTCGTGCCTTCAGGTGAAGGTCTATGGAGTTGGAAGTGTTGGTTTCTACTTCACTCTTCACAGTCAGCTCTATAGACCATAGCTTCTGTGAATAACCAGAATGAACTGTAATTACATGTGGGTTTGTTTTTTATGTTTCTTTGTATGTGAGTTGACAGAGATCCGTCTAAAGTCAGCAGTCATGTATGGGGGGGCACAAGCTTGTGTTTATTGTAATTCTAACCTGAGGTTTTATGTGATATGCTGTTTTTTTTGTTTTTTTGTTGCTTTCTTTTGTTTTTGTTTTTTCCCCTCAGAAGTCACTTTTCTAGTTTTATGGTTCCTTAGCTGGGAACTTAAGGGGACAGGAGCCAGACTAGGAGGGAGCGTAGTTGAGAGGGTCAGGCAGTGTGGTGGCAGCTTGTCCTGGCTTTCCTGGGTTGTGAATTTCTAGCACAGACTCAGTACTCGAGGCTGAAAGCCCGTCTCAGCTAAACGCTGAAGACTTCTGAGTCGTGAGTCGTCCTTTACTGTGGTGTCGCCTGTCCTAGAAAAGCAGCCCTTAACTCCCTGTAAGGCCAGGAAAGAGACACTGGACAGCTCTGCTGCAATGATACTGCCGGAAGACTGGTACCGCCCAGACTTGTTTTTGGGTAGGGAGGTTTAAGACCTTCCTAAGCCCCAGGTGTTTTTACTTTTCAAAGCCCTACCCTACATTACGTTATTAAAATACACTCATAGCTCACATTAAATTGAACCTATATATAATTATTGAAGAGAACTGAGTTGTTATTTAAGAAAATATTTAAGAAAAGTTGCTTTGGTGGGGTACCAGGAATTAAACTCAGGACCTTGTGCTTGAGTTGTTATTTAAATATTAATGTTGGTTTAAAAATATTTTGATATATTGAACAAATATGTTTTTCCCCAAGTCTCAAGCTTCTTTTGCTCCCTTTTCTCCCTCCCACTCTTTCTTCCTCCCTCCCCTCCCCCCTCTTTCTGCTTTTCTTCCTGTTTCCCTTCCGTCCATCCTTTCTTTCTTGGGGTTCCACACTCGAGCATGTTAGGTAAGCATCCTTCACAGCCCTTAAACTTTTCCTGGGCCCCTGTTTTCAATATTACATTTTTCTTTTCAAGAAAAGGAAGAATTTAGGTCTCCTCAGCCTCTGATATTTTGATAGAGTCTAACTTTATAAATTATTAGTAACATTTCCATGAAAGAAAATCTTCCTGCAATGCACATATTTGTGTGTTTAAAATGTTTTTGTTATGAGAAATTTCAAGCATATACAAACAGAGAAGAGACTAGAGAAAAATACACCGCACAGCGTTCTTTCCTTCTAGGAGCCGCTGTCTAGACCCCTTAAACTGATGACTTCCGTGTGGTAGCAGACATAGCTCAGCCGGACAGAAGCTGGTGACCTCGGAGGTGACTGCGGAAGATGGTCCCTGGGCTGAGCCTTGAAGCGTGTTTGTGCTGAAAAGTGAGGAGGCTTGGAGATCAGCCCAGAGGAGAAGGCTTGTGACAGTGTCCCTGGAGGAGTGAAGAGTAGGTGGTGGTGATGACAAATGCCACCCGAGAGTCAGGGAGAGGCTGAGTGTGGGAAGCTTTTTGTGTCATCTTAGACAAGCTCAGGCTTCTTCTGTACATGTGACCGCTTCTGGTGACTCTTACTGCCAAGCGCTGGGAAGATTTGGTATCTGTGAGCACACTAGGGAGTGCGGCTGCGTAGTGCTGGGTGTGGAACCTGCGCCCTCCTGCACACTGGGCGTGGCCTCGGCACAACCAAGGCTCTGTCTTCGCAAGCTTTCACATCCCTCTGCATGACCACTCTGTGGCAACCAACGCTTCAGCACACAAGCCCTGTAGAGCACACACTCAGGCCACGTGCAGACCATGGAAGTGGACATAGGTGTATTTATTATTGAGATGTGCAGGGTATTTTGATTTATGTATGGCATCATTTGCTTAAACTGCTTTTTCCTTAATATTTTGATAGATTCTAATTTTATAAACTATTAGAAACATTTCTGTGAAAGAATATCTTCCCACAGTGTATATATTTGTGTGTTTAAAATGTTTTTGTTATGAGAAATTTCAAGCATATACAGAGAAGAGAATAGAGATGTGTATTTGTTTGTTTGCAGTGTTGGGGATTGAACTCAAGGTCTTGTACATGCTAGGCAAGTGTTTACCACTGAACTACCTGCCCAGTTCCAGCCCCATATTTTATTTATTTTTTATATTTATTTATTTAACATTTTTAAGAAATAATTTTATTGAGAAACAAATACCAATGAGACAATTTCAACACCAATTACTAGCCCAGTTTCAATAATTAATACATTGCATATTGTTGTCTTAGTGGTTATTCATTGTACAAGATGCAGACATGATTAGAAGAAATCTCTCTCATTGAATTAAGAAAATGCAGCTATATATCTATCCTATTTTGAATATACAGATACAAAATGGTCATTCATTTGTATCCCCCTTTTCTGTTTAATTTTGTCAGAGAAGGGTATTCCATTGTCATTTAAATATTGGGTGTGTGAATTGAGCAAAATATTCCAATATAGTCCAGTAGTCCATAATAGTAGTGGGTTTTCCATAATACTGGCAATGTCAGAAGTTGTTGACTGGAGCCTTTTACGGCTCATCATATTAGTATGGCTTTTCTTTTTATACTTCATTTTTATACTTTTCTACTGGATGGTTAAGACCAAGATAAAGCAAGACCTGTATAACAAGAAATATAACTTTTGTATCTGACAAGGTCAGTCAAATCCCCTCAGGATTTATCGTGAGACCCTGTACCTCAGATTGTAGATCCTTTGTCAGTGTCAGCCGTGTGGATGAGTTACGGCCATTGCTTGACCAGTTTGTTCTCTGTGAAAGCCTGAGAGAATGTTTTCTCTCCATGTGACTCTCCCCAGGCACACTATACATCATCGATCACATTCCTCTGTGGCTTCATAATCTCCTTGATCAGAAAATTTGGAGCACAACTGAGTTACATGATGTTACAGTACAGGTTCTTCTATTTCCTGAGTCTTCACTGACCTTGAAAGACTAGGGCCAAAATGTTGGCTGTCCTTGAAGCCCTTTCTTTTCTCTAATTTTTGGTCTGCAATCTTAGGTTGTTAACCCTCCAGAAGAAAAGCTTATTATTATTACCCTGCCACATAGGCAGTTGAGCTTAACCTCACTATCTGTCTGAATATCAAACATCTTAGGCATATTACAGAACAGGTATTTTCCATCAAGTATTGATATGTTAAACTTTAAGTTCCTACAGAATACAAAGAAAAAAATTAAAAAAAAATTAAAAATAGGAATAAATAGTTACATATTTTTATACAGAAATTTAGGGCCGGAGAGATGGCTCAGTGGAATAAGTGCTTCCCTGGCAAGCACAACGACCTCAGTTCAATCCCTGGTTCCACAAAAAAAAAAAAAAAAAAGAAATTTAGAAATCTAACCATATACAGCATTGTAGCAGGACAGTCCAGTGACTTTTTTTTTTTTCTTGTCTCTTGTTTTCATTTATTACCCTTTTTTTTGAATAAACATTTATTTGAGAGACAGTATCCAGCTGCTTATTTTAATACACACTTCCGTATTATTTTCCTCTGCCATAGTATTTGAAAGCAAATGCCAGTCATTATATCATTTCACTTACATGTCCTCAGTCATGTAAAATATATAATTTTTCTTTCTTTTTTTGGTATTTAGTACAGGATCTACAGGGTCTCACTACGTAGATTAGTAGATTGAACTAGTAGTGATCCTCCTGTTTACACCCTCCCAAGAGCTGGGAGTGTAGCTCAATCATGTGTGCCACCATGCTCAGTCTTAGTTGCTGTCTCAGTACGCTTTGGGGGAAGGCCCAGGGATGGAACCCTTGGCCCCTGCGTCTGCCTAAGCAGGTGCTTTAATCTGCTGAGCTATCTGGCTGGCTCTATATTTATAATTCTATATAAATAGATTTGATGTTTCTAATATTATTTAGTACTATGCAAATCAGGGTTCATATGAAGTCTAAATGTTCAATTGGCGATACATTAAGGTTTTCTAATTTAAAATCTTCCTCCCTTTTGTTTCTCCTGCAGTATATTTATTGAGTAAACCAAATTATTTTTCCAGTGGACTTTCCCACCATGTAAACTTGGCTGGAGGCCTCTCGCTACGCTGGCACTAACATATCTTCTGTACCCTGTCATAACCAATAAGTGGAGATCTGGAGGTGTGATTCATTTGTTAAAATTGGTTCAACTCTGTCTCTACCCAAAATCGCCTATCAGTTTTTACCGGATGGTTTTAGTATCCCATCATTTGTTGTATGGCCTGCATTCATTGCTTCTTTAGGCTTCTCAGGATGATGGGTTTTAGAAATTTTCTGAGATAACTGTAAGTTCACATGTAGGATGTAATACAAAGAAATCCTTTATACGTTCTCCACATTTTCTCCAGTGGCAGCATCTTTGCTCAAGTATAGTCCACTGATGACATCCATGGTACCAATTTAGATTTCACTGGTTTTACATATATTATGTATATAGATATGCACATAGCTCTGTGTGTGCATCTAGGTCTGTGTGTTTTCTTACGCTGTAGACAAGTATAGGCAATCCCACAGTGAAGAACCAGCACACTTGTGTCACACTTGTGTCTCACGCTACCCTTCTAGCCACAGCCATTTCTTTTTGACCCCTTGTTTCACCCCAAAGACACCGACTTTCCTAAATTTCTGTAATTTTGCTGTTACTGTAAAGAAAAATACAGGAAATTATATAGTATCTTCTTCCGAGATTTTTTAAAATTAAGCTTAATTCTCTTGAGAACCGTCAGATGATACCAATAATTTATTCCTTTTTATTAGTATTTCCAGCCATTCATTAGAGAATATTGGATTGTTTCAGTTTTGGAGAATTATATTTAGATGTGCTGTAAGCATCCATGTACAGGTTTTGTGTTAACTTAAGTTCATTTTGTGGCATAAATACCCAAGAAGAGAATTGCTGGGCTGTATGCTAAATAGGTTTAGCTTTGAACAAAGCTACCATATGCTTTTTTTCGGAATGGCTGTACCACTCTAATCCCTCACCAATGAGTGAGATACCCAATTTCACCAACATTTTAGTTACTATGTTTTATTTTAGTCTTTCTGATATCTTTATAAGAATTTTTAAATTCCATTGTTCTTTCTAATTTTTAAAGGTATGATTATTTTATAAAGAACTTGTCCTTAACAGCTATTTGATACCCATGAAGTACAGTCTCTTCAAGAAAGGAAGGTTATTCAGTGTTCTTTGTTCTTCACACCACTTCCACAAGTAAATTTTTGGAAAAAAACAAAGCTGCTCTACTAGCTTTTTGAGTGACTAGCTTTATTTATTTATTTATTTATTTACAGAACTGGGAATTGAACTCAGGCTCTTACACTTGCCAGGCAAGCGCTTATTCTACTGAGCTATCTCCCTGGCCCCAAACTGATGATTTTTTTTTTTTTTTTTTAGCGGAATCAGGGATTGAACTCAGGCCCTGTGTTTGCCAGGGAAGCACTTAACCTACTGAGCCATCTCCCTGGCCAAGTGACTAGCTTTAAAAAAAAACACACACAAACAAATAAGAACAAGTGTTATTATGAACTCATAGATTTTAAAATATATTTGATGTGATTATCTTTTAGGATAGATTATCTTCTATGCTAGAAGAAATATGAAAGGGTAGGAAAATTAAAATTTTGATGTAGATTACCCTTCTAATCTGTAGAAAGGCTGTGCCATTCATGCTTTGAGAAAAGTATATGAAACATATTTATTTGTCCATATCCTTGCCACCACTGACAGTTGGCCAGGTTTTAATTTTTACCAATCTGATGATAAAATTGATAGCTTTTCGGTTACAGTTCTTTTTTTTTAATTTTATTTATTTATTTATGTGTGTGTGTGTGTGTGTGTGTGTGTGGCCAGCTCAGCCCACCAGGGGGCGGGGCTGGCTGGCATGTGGTGCTGGGGGACTGAACTGCAGTCCCTGTGCTTTGCTGAGCTTGTTCCAAGTAGGTGCTTTAGACCACTGAGCCATCTCCCCAGCCCCAAACAAAGGAGGGGAGGGTTGTTTTTTTTTTTTTTTTTGCGGAACTGGGGATTGAACTCAGACCCTTGCGCTTGCCAGGGAAGCGCTTATTCTACTGAGCCATCTCCCCGACGGTTACAGTTCTTTAGTTAGAAGTGAAGCTGGTCTTTTCACACTTATTGTCTTTTTAACATTTAATCAATTTCTGTTACTGTCTTTTATTATTGCTCAGAGAAAATACCCAATACCCAAAGTTAAAGGAGTAAAGGTCCTTTGGGTCATAGTTCATTGAGGTTTTAGTTCATAATCCCAAGGCAAGGTGGCCTGGCAGACAGCTACCAGAGAAACAGTTCATGGAAGGCAGAAGGTAGCAAAACAAACAAGGGAAAGCCACAGCTCTTTCTATCCTGGTATCTTATCTAGGCAACTTAGGGCAGATAGCATCACCCTTACTCCCAGGGCCTTTGTCCTAGCGGTGCACCATGCATCAGTCCCAACACTGTACACATCCACGTCTGAAAAGCTCCACCTGTGACCCCATGTTACTATTAGGTTATTTTCTTAAATTTTTGTTTCCTTATACCTTTTAACTTTTTCCTGATGTTTTCTGTTTGCTTAGAGCTTTTCTTAACATTATAAGAATAGGTACTATTGTAGTGCATGTCTATGATTTTATGGTTATATTTAATACATACTCTGGACAACTTGTTTCTCTATCAGAAGTGAAGTAAGAATCAAGTACTATGTTTTCTAAATACCTGGTAAGTTTTCCCAATGCCAGTTTCTTAAATATATTTTTAATGAACTTTACATTGACCCCCAAGTCCATTTACTCACCACTTGAGAAGAGACAAGGACAAGATTTAGGGGTCAGGCAAAAGGCTTGTTCGATAAGCTGGCAGGACCAAGAAGATAGAAAACTGGTGCCCAAAGAAAGCCAGCCTAAATTTTGTGCTCCTTTCATTCTTAGACACAAGAGAAAGAAGTGGGGCTTAGGAAGGCTGCTGGGAAATGCTGTGGAAGCTAGTGGTGGGCAGTCTGTCCCAGTGCTGCCGTAAATCTTGAAAGGAACGGTTGCTCTTCTTTTGGCATCTTCAGCTTTGAAGGTGCAAGAGAAAGATCAAATTAGGCAAGTTTTGAGTAAATCAACTCTTTTTGCTGCCTATTTCTAGAAGATTCTGTAAAAGACTAACATGTCTATATGCAGAGTTGAACAGAAGCAATATAATCTACAGGTGAGGTAGCAAAGGAGACAGACCGTACAGAGGCAGAGGTGCAAAGCTTTGTCATCCTGTTTTAGTCACCTGTCAGGTACCTACACAGGCCCGAATGAAAAGTTAGTGCTTCCAGCACAAACAACCTTCAAGTCCCTAAGAAGTAGCCTGGATGTCATTGTAACTCACACTTAGTGGTGGCTTCAGTGTCACCCACAGCAAACCTGCTGGGGAACTAATGATGATGAATTGTTGGGCTGCATGACCTCAAAAATTACGTAGTGATTGTAAAGGTCTGCTATAAGCAGAGGGTTTTTAGGTTTTGAATGGCCACTTTTGTACAAAATTCGATATAATGTTGAGTCTATTTCTGTTTTATATTACATTCTATTGATTTATCTGTTACTGTTCTATTGTCACGGTTTACGTTGCTGATTTTTTCCATTAATGTTTTTGTTAATGGAGTTTGTGAAATTATGATATGTGAATTTATTCATTTTGACCGTTGCTTTATAATTTGTGTGTTTTGGAGGGTGGTAGGTGGTGGGGGTGGTACTGTCCCAGCCTCTATAATGTGTTTTTTGTTTTTGTTTTTTCATTTTATGTACGACGATCACTATGAGTCCACACAGCTTGGACCCATAGTGATCCTCCTGTTTTCAGCCTCCCTAGCACTGGGATTATAGGCATGCTCCACCATGCCTGAACTCGCTCAGCGCATGCCAGGGGCAGGGCGGGTGACGCATGCGGAACCAGGGATCGAACCCTGGTCCCTGTGCTTGCCAAAGCAGGTGCTTAGTCCACTGAGCTATCTCACCAGCCCCTTATAATGTGTTTTAATAAATGGTGTTGCCTCTTTTTTTCCTTTTATGATTTCATTGGCAAAGCTCATAAATTCAATCAGATGATTTTAGAAATAATTGTTTTCAGTTTTCCCAAACATTCTTTTTATATTTTCATTGGGATTTTATTCAGTTCATAGATTTAGGAAGAATTGATTTCTTTATAATTGTGAATCCTTATACTTAAGCACATAGTCTTTTATTTACTATGTGTTATATCCTTAATACTGTTATCATTTATCCATTACTATTGTTTGTTTCTCTCCCTTTGAGGAGTGCCTTTTAAATCCAATTAGAATTTTTAAATATTTCAAACTTTCTGGGGAAAATATCTTATTTATAATCTATAATAGATTTGTAAGCTACCTGCCTGTGCTAACAAGCTTTATTTTCCACCGTCTCTAAGTCAGATTAGATCCTGATTTCCTTCTGGAAGAAGCTATTGTTTAGTTACTGAGCATGTTGCGGTGAATTAATTTCTGAGGAGTGTGATAGGAAGTTGTTGACTCACATTAGATGTGAATGAAAAGCTGGAGTTTTGTATAAAAAATTCATCTGTTCTAATATACCATCTGGGACAATTTTTAAGTGACAAAAACAGACCTACGGTTGTAAAACAGTTTATAAGGCATGCATCTGCCAGGCTGCTGGGTGTCCCTGGTTGAGATCAGTTTTTGATCCATTTCATTGTGCCTGAGAATTTATTGTTTTATCTGCTGCTTAATAAGTTGCTTCAATGCTCCAACCTGTCCATCCCAAGTAGAGTGATAGTAATGAGAACAGCTCCGTTTGCTGAGGTCCTCCCGGGTGCTAGGCACAGTCTTTTGTTTTTTTTTTTTACTTTTTTTCCATAATTTTAGGCACAGTCTTTAAGAGTTTCACATGTTATTTTTTTCATGTTATTTTCTTAAGTTCACTGAAGGACTCTCTAAGAAATTCTCATTCTGCAGATCAGACAGTTAAAATAAGAGGCAGAGTTAGTTAAACAGATGCAATTCTAGGCTCTTTGGGGCCTCGGGCTGTGCTGCAGGTTTTCCAGGTGTGTGTGTGTGTGTGTGTGTGTGTGTGTGTGTGTACTTGTAGGTGTAAGCATGTGGGTGTAGTCTGGGGATAGGTGGCGGCAGAAGTGATCCTAGCTCTAGGGAACCTGGTGACATACAGCAGGCTTTCATAATACAGAGCTTCATCCTTAGGAGCTAGTCTCCATTAAGTACATTAATATGTTTTAAATTTTTATCTTATAGGTGTTTGATGAATTGCACTATTTGGTAGATTCCAGGGTCATGCTTTCTGGGGAGCACTGGTAAGCTTTTTAACCTATAGACAATTTTATAGGGTAAATCATTATCTTGGGGGAAAGTCTATGTTCAGGTCCTTTAGAACTACTCATTTAATTATGAATAATATTTGGCTTATAATTACGTTATTTTTATATATTCAAATAGTTGGACCCTTTAATATTGTATACAATATGCTATATGTTGTCTCAAATTTATCAAAATATTTTTATTATTTTTATTATTTTTTATTTTTATTTATTTATTTTTTTTATGTGTGTGTGTGTGTGTGTGTGTTTTATGTGTGTGTGTGTGTGTGTGTGTGTGGCCAGCTCAGCCCACCGGGGGCGCGGCTGGCTGGCATGTGGGACTGGGGGATTGAACCGTGGTCCTTGTGCTTTGCTAAGCTTGTTCTACGTAGGTGCTTTAGACCACTGAGCCATCTCACCAGCCCCTCAAAACATTTTTATAAGCATTCTGTGATTCAAAGAGACTTTCCATACCAAATTAATGTTACTTATTGCCATATGTTTTGAAATATTTTAGACATTTAAAAATTTATTTTTTATGTATTGGTACAGGGTCTCACTACGTGACTCAGACTTGTAGTGATCCTCCTGTTTTCAGCCTCCCCAGCACTGGGATTACAGGCATGTGCCACCAGGCCCAGACTCATTCTCTGGCTTGTGGTGCTCTGGGGGTGGGGCCAGTGTCTCATGCAGGACCAGGGATCAAATCCTGGACCCTGTGGATCCCTGGTCCCTGTGCTTGCCAAAGCAGGCTTTAGTCCTCTGAGCTACCTTGCCAGCCCTGAAATATTTTAGACATACTAACAGACATAAGTGATAATATACTATCCAGATACCTAACATCTTGCTTACAGGACTGGATGTCACCAAAGTACTGAAGCTTCTGTATGCCTCTCCCTAAATGCATATTTTCCCTCTAGAACTAGCAGTTAATGATCTGCTTTTTAACATAACAAATGTTTATAAGCTTTGTAGAAATAATACTATAGTCTACAACTTGCCTTTTCTCACTCCACATAATATGCTTGAGGTTTGTCCATGTTGACACATGTTCTAGTCCATTCATTTTTACTGCTTAGGATCATTTGTTAAGTGAGTGTGCCACAAGTGTTTGTTCATTCTCCCGTTGGTGGACAAACTGCTGTAATTAGTAATTAACAAACTGCTGTAATTCTCTTGCAGTTCTCCTGTGTGTGTATGTAAGAGATTCTGTAAGGTGCTTGCCTATGAGTGAAACTGCTGGATGCAAAGGTATGTGTGTTGTCAGCTTCACTGAATGTTGCCAGGTTATCACAGGAGTGCTGCCCACTTGGAGCCCCTCGGTGTTCTGTACCCTTGGGAGCACTAGTTATTGTCAGACCTCATTGTGGTACTTTATAAATAAGAAATTTCGCTGTCATTTTGAATCACAATCAGTGATGAGGTTGCTCATCTTATGTTTGTAGGGACTACAGGTGTTTTTTCCCTCCTTATCCATGGGTTCATCTATGGAATCAACCAACTGCAGGTCAAGAATGTTAGGGGAAATACTGCATCTGTATGTAACCCGTAGACTTTTTTTCATATCGTTATTCCCTAAATGATACAGTATAACAACTACCTAGCATCTCCATTGTCCTAGGTATCATAAACAATCTAGAGAGGATTTCAGGTGTGCAGAATATGCTTAAGTTATATGCAAATACTATGCCATTTTATATAAAGAACTTCTGCATCTTTAAATTTTAGTATCTGTACTTACTCTAACTGCATATTATGATTGATAGTGAGTTGCTAAGTTGAAAGTAACATGATATAACTACTACTAGATAGCACTATATACTATTTGTATCTTTAAAACATTGGCAAATATGCAAATTTTTTGAAAGCTATACTTTTTGGTGATTTTTCTGATAATATTTTGGAAAACATGGAATTAAATTGATATTTGAATCCTGGCTCTTTGTCTTTGAAATAGACATAATCCCTCATGGTCTGATGAGAGAATTGAGATAACACCTAACCATAGGCCTGGTATTCAGCTTTAGGAAAGAGATACATATATTCAGCTTCAGTAATATAAAAAATGGATGATACGTGGTAGCTGTGTAAATCAATACTGACTCCCAGCAGCATCTGTGGGATTAAAATGCTGCCTGTTGATAGCTGATACAAACATGCTTCCATCTCAAGACCAAGCAGGAACCCAGTGGCATGGAAAACCCCAAACCATCCCGTGTCTGCCATTTATCTGTGTTTGGCTGCTCTGGTCTTCTCTGATAACTTGTACGTGCACCAGCCTGCCGCTTTTGTTCAGCTTCTGTGCTTTGTCAGTTTTCTGAAGACCAGAATGCCTGTGACAGTGACAGAGCTCTCTGGGATCAGACTTGTTGTATGGGCATAACCTTGGGACCCTTGGAGATACCCTGGAATCTGGTCTCTGATTGGGAGCTCTATCAGTAGCTGTAGAATGTGGAAGAAACTGACCAGGTGCCTGCGAGCTGATCAAGGGACTGCTGAGTAGCTAGTTACTGTGAGTTGATTTCGTCTGTTCTTCCCTCTTCTGCCACAGGAGATTGTTCACATGGCTGCTGAGGAAGTGACCATTACAGTTCGCCTCATTCGGTCATTTGAGCACCGCAATTTCAAACCTATAGTGTACCATGGAGTTAATTTGGACCAAACTGTAAAGGAATTTATAGCATTTCTGAAGCAAGGTATTGGTTTTTCTTTGATTAGTAGTTTGAAAAAAAAAAGTTGGTTATGGTAATAATCTTTTGAAAAAGCCAGGCATAATGATGCAGGCCTATAATCATAGCATGCCAGAGGACTGAGGTAGGAGGATCCCAAGTTTGAGTCCAGCTTGGGCAACTTAAGGATTGACTCAAAAACCAAAAAAGGGATGTAGCTCACTGGGAATACAATGAGTCAGCACCACACACACACACACACACACACACACACACACACACACTCGTGTGGATGCAACAGTGAAAGTACCTTGGAAGGTATTCATCTAGACTCTGGGCTGGTGCTGGCCTGGCTGCCCTTCTGGGCCTCTCTGCTTGCCAGACCTTCTCAATGAGTGGTGTGTGCATCCTCACCAGCGAGAGTTGCTGTCATATTTGACTTGACTAATTAAGGCCTACGTTTACTTTAATGGGGTTATGTGTTTGGAGATTGATTAATAAAGGAATGCAGTGTAGCTGATTGTGTTACCTACCCTGCAGAGAGGGGACCTGTGGGAACACAGCCAGAAGGGAGCAGGATCCTGAAGAGCGAGCAGGGAACCCCGGGGGGCGCTGGGTCGTGGAGGTCACGGAAATGGCAGCCGTTGTAGTGGTGCTAGTTGATCGCTTTGTACCTGGAATTGGCAAGAAGTTAACCTTCACTTCAGTGGGTGCTCGATGGGCTTCTTAACCTCTGTTTGTAATTCTTGAAGTATCCCAAACATTAGCGTTTGATAAAACATTCAGCATAGCTTTTATTCCTTTAACTGAAATGTAATTTATGTACAGTGTAATATACACATCTCAGTTTATGGTCGCATGGGATGACAAATGTGTCACTTTAATCTGACTTTTTAAAAAACTTTTATCATAACTTCAGACTTGTGAAGAGTTATAAGAATAGTATCTCCAGATGTTTTTCTGCAGATTCCCCACATTAGCATGTGGCCTTCTTGGCTTTTATCCTTCTGTTTGCTCTTCCCTTTTCTCTCCCTCACTTTCCCCACCACTTCCAGCCCTGCATTTAGTTTTTCTTTCTGGATCATGTAGAAGTGTATTACTGACATGATTCCCTCTTTACCCTTGATATTTCAAAGCGTATTTCCTAACAAATATGTAATATTCTATATGTAAGTATTTTACAGTTTACATTTATGTGTAGTAAAGCATAATGATCAAGCTCAGGAACTTGCCATTGGAATGACACTGTTATCTTCTCTACAGACCTCATTGAGATTTTAATTGTCCCAGTAGGATCTTCATTAGAAAACACAATCTAAGGTCACATGTTGTGTGTAGTTCCTTTCCTCTGGACTACTTCTCTAGCTTTTGTTGTATTTTATCACCTCGCCAAATTTGCATAGAACAGGCTACTTTTTTGAATGCTCCACTGCTGAGTTCATCTGGTGTTTTCCCATAGTTTAGACTTAGGTTCTGCCTTTGGCAGGAAAAATTGTAAGCATGGTGCTGGTGTCTTCTCAGTGCCTCCCAGCAGAGAGAGTCCCATGTTGCTGGTAACATATGAGTTGGTTAAGGTGGTGTCTGGCAAGTTTTCATTGTAATTGAGAAGTGCCTCCTAGGGATCTATCTCATCTGAGACTACGTGAGTCTCTCGTTACCTCTCAAACCTTCAGGTGCAGGTTAAGCGTTCTTTGGTGATTCCTGCCTGAGTCAGTTATGATGATGATTGATAAATGGTGATTTTTCTGATTCTATCATTCTACTTGTATTAATTAGTTTTCTGCAGTAAGGAAGAACTTTTTACACTCCCTGGTTTGTTTAATGACTTGTTTCTATATTACTGTGGGCTCATAGCTACTTTACTTAAGGGATTATTATTCTCTGTCATCACTAGGAGCCCCATTTCTTGTGTCATTTTACTATGTCCCTGTCATCCTTTGAGCACTTCCTTACTTTGGCGAGTGACATGATTCTTCAGACTTGCTGTGCCCTTTCTCTGCCCCAGGCAAGGTCAGCTATTTCTCCAAGAGCTCTAATTCTATTATTAGACAATAGTATTCGAAAAAAATCAAGATTTTGGTTTCAGTGTAAGTATTGTAAGTGTGTATAACTTGCTTTTTATTGTATTTATTTATTTTGTAGTACTGGAGATCAAGCTAAGGGTCTCTCACATTTGAGGCAAGTGCTCTTTTACTGAGCTACAAGCCTAGCCCTACCTAGTTTTTTTAAAACATAGTTAATTCTCAACATTTTACTTTCTGTTTGACTTTCAAAAATAGTCTTTGCAATTCCCTGTATAATTTTGGGAAGTGTTTCTATTTTGTATTGTAGAATTGTATGTTGAGTAAGGAGTAGGCACTGTATACAGATGTGAGAAGAGGACTCAGACTGATCGGTCTGTAACCAAGGAAAACCTAAAGGTGAGGTGTGATTGAAAAATACAGTGAATGTTTAGAGTTTTGAAACAGTGTTACAGTAAAAGACACACTGAGATTAATCCCCCTGAAAACATACTCGCCCTATCATTCTAGCCACTTTCTGAAACAGTTTTGGAAGTCTTCTTTTGTGAGTGTCTTTAGCTGCCCTGGGGTAGGCAGTGTCCTGAGTCCATTCAGAATGTTCACCTCTCGGGGTTCTTTTGACTTTATGAGCCAGAAGTCACAAGAGTTCAGGTCTGGTGAATAAGCAGGTGAGGACACACTGTGCCATTTTCATGATTGTGTCTTTCCAGTGGGTGGCACTTGGCAGTAACATTCACTGAGGATTTCACAGAGGCCTTTGGAGGTGTCCAGTGAGTGACAAAGCTTTGAATCTCTCTTCAAACTTTGTGTGTCTCTCTTTGTGCTGTGTCTCCTTTGCTACCTTAGCCTTCGGGTCAGATGATCTTCTTTCAGCATTGCATGTAAACATGTCACTTAGCAGTGTTTGTCTGGAGTTGGTAGTGAGGATTGATTTGCTCCAAATATACTAATACTAATCTCTCCACCATGTTCAAAGTGGAAGAGACTAAGAACTGAAATACTGTCAGTGTTTAGAGGAGCATCACAACCACCATGTTTCCCGGTATCATGTTCCTGAACACAGGAGAGGCACCTGCAGGCTCCTGCCGTCTGTCCTTTTCTGTCCTAAGACCACCTCTGTCCCTCTGCCTAGGGACAAGCTCCTTCTAGGGGCTTGAAACAGTTCACTACAAGGATTTTTAGGGTGCTGGCATGCCATCCTCTTGTTTGCTAGAATCCTGAATAAATGTTTTTCTTTGCCCCAACAAAGAAATTGCCTTCAATTCGTTGGACTCCTTTTTGAGCTGTGAGTAAGCAGGTGGGTTCTGTTGTAAGTCAACTTCATAGAGATTTTTTAAAGGATTTCATAAAAGGACAGAATTATTCATAAAGGAACTACTGGGCTACATATAGTGCATACATTTTTATTGCCATGTTCTTTACTATTAGAGGAAAACAGTACTAAAAGGTAATGTAGGGAAAACATAATTCTTTTCTAAACTCTCAAGTTCTTATTGTAAGGGACTCCCAAGGGCAACAAAAGATAGATTAACATTAAAAACAAACAGTTGATTTAAAGTATAGTTCATATATGTATGCGAGGTACCCTGAGATTAATCCTTCAAGGAAGGCTTTGAATTCCAACTTAGAGAGCATTTTCAACAGGAGCAGTAGATTTTTAGAGTTGTCTTCAGGGGCCAACCTTTGTTCTCCGAGGTAGAGAGAAAAGGAAGCATAAATTGTGTCTAGCTTTGAGGGAGGTAGAGGGAGGATGGGAGGGAGGATGGGAGTGTTTCTGGCTCTGTCCTTGTCACAAAATGAACCTTACGACAAAAAGGTATGTTTGGGGGTGGCATGTTCTGGTCTCCCACAGTGTCCTTTACAGAATGTCCTGCTCTTGAAAGGTTATCACTTAAAGCATATTCAGGTTTTGAGTTGAAAGCAAATTCCTACATTATAAAATTTTTGTGTCTGTATATAAGGGTCACACTGTTTCTTGGTGTTGTCATAGCAAGTACTGTGATGTTCTGGGCACAGGAAGAGCAGGGTCCTCTTGAAGTCCTTGGGGAAATACACGTACTTTTCAAGCTTCAGTCTCTCCAGGGTTGCTGTGTTCTTTTATGTCTAGTTTCAGAATGGCTTCCCAGGAGTAGTGGGGGACCCATTATGGCCAGATGGTGAGGCGGCCAGGTGAGCCCCTCTGATATAACCCCGGCAGGCACGTTTCGGTTGTGCAGGTGAGGAAGTGTGTTCTGCTAACTGGAAGAGGTGCATTTTAGGGATAGAGACTTTCCAAAGGCAGGTTTTGCGCCAAAGCTTATGTTCGTCATCCAATTGGAGGTTCTGTGGAATTCTGAAACAACTTTGGAGGGCTGTGTGTTTGCATTTTATCAATAGTATGTACAACAAAGATTGAGTAGTTTGACAGCAAGGAATTTTCTGAGATACTAATAATGTGAACTAACACAGGTGTTACATCATGAATGCTATATAGGCTGTCTCTCTGCATCTTCGCGCTACCCCTTTAAAGGAGAAACTAAGTTTCTCCATTTACAGGCAGACAAACTAAGAGGTAGAGAAGTTAAGCAGTTTGTCAGAATTACATGGCTAATAAAAAGGCTAGCTTCAATCAATGCATGCAGTTTAACTATAAGATAGGTACTCTTTGAATGTGTATGTATTTCAATTTGAAAAAACATTCTGAATCTAGGAGAATGAAGGTAAAATATTAATATCATTTTCCTTTATTTTGTTATGGGCATATGTTTGCAATACATAACACTTGCATTCATTTCAAGGAGTTGGTGCATATGTGTGATGTGTCTTGATAACTTTTATTTTCCCTCCACCCCTCCCTTCTCCTTTCCCCTCATATCCTTCTGCTGCTCCAAAAAAATCTGCCTTTATTTAGAATTGGGTTTTATACTCTTTTTTATCATTGGGTTTCTCATGTAAGAGAAACTGTGATATTTCACTTTCTGTATCAGATTTATTGTAGTCTCAGGACCCATCCATTTTTCTACCAAT